CGACTCAGACATTTGACGAAACCTTTTATCTCCAAACTACATGGCTACGGAATAGGTTCCATTTTGTTCTGTAATTGAGAAGGGCAGATGACTGACGCAAGCTCGGCTGAACCTTGACATTTTCAGATGGCCCAAAGTTAATTAAAGCAGCGATTTCCAGAAATAGACAATGTTATTAAAGCGCTAAATTTATTTGGTTGTCATAATAGGTTCTAGGTTTTGACTAAATTGTTCAGGACACTCTTTTATCTTTTTTAATGACTTCTGGAGCTACAGATGGACATTATTGAATTTTAAAATAATGATTTAAAAAAGGGTGCGTGTACTTATGTACGCGCGTAAGAAGTTATACTTTTTTTATTACGCTTTTATTATTTATTAGAAGTTACGCTTTATTTTTATTAACTTTTTTTTTTTTAATATTAAATAATTAATAATAAATATTTAACGTTAATAATTTAATAATATTTAGTATGAATTATATTAAATAATAATTTTGTCATTTATATTACTAAAAAATGAATGCTAATAACTTTTTTTTTACGAGTGTATATGCGCGAAAGTTCACCTGCGACTATATTCAGACTCGCCAAGTTACGTCGGTCGTATTGTAATGAGCGATTTAGTGGGCAACTTCATTCTGTTAATTTTGTGTCACGGTGCGCGCGCATCGTAAAATTTCACTCTCATCAATTTTTCATAACGCGCCTAAAGAAGTATAACTTCAAAAAGAAGTATTTTTATTTGCCATTTGGCTACGTTAAAGCCACATTTTAGGTGGCGAAACTATAGCACGAAATTAATGCAAATTAGTGCAGTTTTTTTTAATACAAAATGCCAATAATGCTATGCTAATTTGATAGACAAGGTCAAAAATTAGAACACATTATATAAATTTGATCTTTGAATTTGAATAACGTGATTTGCATTTTGAACAATATGTTGCGATTAAAAGCAAATTCGTCCTTCAATCAAACGGTCTAAAGTCTAAAACAATTTTCAATGGAATTCCACAACAACAAAAAACGCAATAAGTATTAAATCGAAGAGTTACACATGATTGAGTATGACTACTTACTAACAGTAATACTGTCAAACAAAGCCTTAATCGATTTAGTAAAAAAAATAACAAACACATTGTGACGATTATTACAGAGTAACAACTCGCTTTTAACCTATACCTTGAAACGATTTNGTCTAAAACAATTTTCAATGGAATTCCACAACAACAAAAAACGCAATAAGTATTAAATCGAAGAGTTACACATGATTGAGTATGACTACTTACTAACAGTAATACTGTCAAACAAAGCCTTAATCGATTTAGTAAAAAAAATAACAAACACATTGTGACGATTATTACAGAGTAACAACTCGCTTTTAACCTATACCTTAAAACGATTTTGCAGCCATGTTGAGTGTTCGCGAAAAATGATAAACCTCATTCCTTAGACCCGCAATCTCGGGATATATTATTTAAGTGCCCCGAGATAATCGTTACAGAGGTCCAAATTGAATTTATACGTGATTTCATCAGAATCAACTAACCTTACCTTACGGACTTCAGGTTTATTTTAACTTTCATCTTCATCGGAATACTTATTCTTGCGACGTTTAGACATGGTACTGTTTTTAGGACAAGTTTTTAGCGATCACATCGCGGCGATTTTAAAAATTACTACTTCCGTACTGTTCTTTACTACACTTCATTTTTATCTAATTATAAAAAAATTAGGATTTATACAAATAATAGCCATATCACAAAGTATCAATATATTCGCTAAATGTTTGAACCCTCATTCAACACAATTCTTTAATAGACTATATCGTGCTCAAACAGTTTCGTAATTACAATTAAATCACTGCAACGTGCGTGACTCGCTATGATTAACTACCTTTTGTTTGAAATACTATTCTTGACGATTATTAATGGTGCGTTAACAAAAAAATAAAGTGGATATAGCAGTTATTTTTTAACATAAATATTTAAGTGAGATGACGGCTATTAGCAGCCAGCCGGTGGTGCTTGAAGAAATAAATATCCAATATTTACTACACGACTGCAGAGATCGCGACACAAATAAAATGATATAATATTGTTCTTTAATAAAAATACTAATCGAACTTAAATACTTATACCCATGGGCCATGAGGTCATGTCTACTCATCTATACAATAAAAAAAATATTTTTCTGTGCAGCTGTGCAATCTCTATTGTTGAAACGAGTATTTTTTCTCATTTCAGTTTCAAATTCTTCATTCAATGTTCAATTCAATTAATAAAGAAATTCTAATGTCAACATTATTAATGTGTATCATATTTTATTTATAAGTAATATAGAAATTTTTTTTACTCCGTTTTAATACTGTTATTTCGTTTTTGCCGAGCTCATACATACGTCTAACGATTAAAAGCTCGCATATAAAAAAATGACAAAGGTCACTTTATTATATACTTAAATAAATGAATATAATATATAAATACTTAATATAGTGAGCTTGTCTATTCATACCGAGAAATTAAAAAGCTTTACAGGTAAATCTTAAAGCTACGGTCCATCTAACTCTAAGCTTAGTTATTGAACATGCATAAGCATGTGACAATACCCGGTCAATTGTGAGATCTTCTTTAAAATAAATTCAATTTACGAGAAAATTCATAACACATTTTTTTTATTGCTTAGATGGGTGAACGAGCTCACAGCCCACCTGGTATTAAGTGGTCACTGGAGCCCATAGACATCTACAACGTAATTGCGCCACCCACCTTGAGATACAAGTTCTAAGGTCTCAGTATATTTACAACGGCTGCTCCACCCTTCAAACCGAAACGCATTTTTATATACCAGTCTAGAACTATCGGACATTACCTAGGGTACAAGGTCCAAGGTTGGTATAGTTAGGTTCCAAGCAACAAATTTTCATTAATCAAACATATAAATGCAAAGACCGACTTTCGTCAACAGTGCAACTGAGGGTTTTAAAATTCTTTGGTCACATCTCCAGAAAAGAGCACTCGATGGAGAGACTGGTAGTCCAGGGCCGGGTGGAAGGCAGAAGGTCACGCGGCCGCTCACCGACCCGCTGGACTGACCTAATAAAGAAGGCAACTGAGTCCACTATGGTCGAATGTACTCGTAACGCTTCGAACTGCCAGACCTGGAAGCGCATTGCCTGGAGGACGGTTGTCGGGAGCATGGGCGACCTAACAGGTCCTACTGCACATACAGCGTCAACGCAACCACGACCACTCTGACAAGAGTGTCTGACTGAGAAGATAAATGCACATTGGCTTTCGTCAGCACTATAATTTCACGCGGCATGTCAACAGTCAATGCAAAAAGCGAACTATAAACATTTTAAATTCCGAAAATGCATTGAAACACGTACAAGCAATAACTAAATACAGTTTTATTGCTGCTGCTAGGAAACGCATGATTCATTGTGGAATAACTATATTTACATTTATTTTTATTGGTTTTACGATTTTTTTATTATGGATATAGATATTTATTTTAAGTTTTTTTGTTTTTCTACCATAAAACCCCGATTTGTAATTGTATGTCAATGGCTTAGCTTAAAATGGGAGTAAAATCGACAGTCTCTTCTTTGAAGCATTTTCTTTGACGACGAAATCAAAAACACGTCAGTCTTTTTTGAGAAAACATATTATTATTATGTATCAATGTTCACATCACGGAAGTGAGCTGTTAATAAGCCTTACACAATTACGGCACAGATATTTGACATCAACCGTATTGTATACTTATATATTATATCTTAAATTTACGTTAAATTGAATTTAATCTTGTGTATTAGTACAATATACTAATTGGCTTTCTTTGTAACAGTTAGTCTATGCCCAAATTGTAAAAAATTCTGAATTAAAAATTTCAATTTCAATACATGAAGACTACTTGTACATATTACAACAGTTTTAAATGCAGACATCAAATTTATAATATCATAGATCTTCAAATATCCGGTATCTCAATCCAATACAAAGATTTATGAGTAGACCAGGTAAATAAGTTTCGCTTTGTAATTCAAATAGGGTTTTATAGGGTTAAATAACCTCCTGGAATCTACGAATACACGAAGAAATTTTGTGAATAACTTCAAAACGATAACAGTTATGTATACACTACATAGTATAAAACAAAGTCGCTTTCTCTGTCCCTATATCTGTCCCTATGTATGCTTAAATCTTTAAAACTACGCAACGGACTTTGATGCGGTTTTTTTTAATAGATAGAGTGATTGAAGAGGAAGGTTTATATATATAATAACATTCATTAAATAGTGGAAATTTCAATAATAAATTAAAGTTTCTGAAGCGAAGCGGGGCGGGTTGCTAGTTTCATTATAATTAATTAATTTTATGTTGAGTATCGACGGTATATTCAATGCAAGATCTGCTTGTTATTGAGCTGAAAAGTGTATTAGAGTTCTAGTAGAATTGTATTTTTTAAGATTCTCTGTTACGTTTTCATCAATCGTCGCTATAGCCCACTGAGTTTCTCACCGGATCTTCTCAGTGGGTCGCGTTTCCGGTTAGATGGTAGATTCTGCGAAGCACTGCTCTTGCTAGGGCCAATGTTAGTAACACTCCCGTTTTGAGCCCCGTGAGCTCTCCTACACGTCAAGGAGAAGCTGAAATAGCCTCTCAAGGCTCTCAGTATAGGTAGGAGAAAAAAAAGTTCATATTTTCTCAAGAAATTCAATCATAGTACCATTCATTCATCGGTAATTGCATTGCTACGTGATATGAAATACATTTCTGATATAATTTACATAAACTACGTAATTGATGTTTTAAATAAACTAATTTTTTTTATTGCCCATGTAGGCAGACTAGCATACGGCCTACCTGATGGTGAGTGATTACCGTCGCCCATGGACTTCAGCAATGCCAGAGTCAAGCCGCTGCCTACCCTACTTTACCATAATTTTATAATCAGTCGTTAACAACCCTAAAGAAATATGATTATATTAGTTACTGCTCATTGCCATGGCGACGCTGCCCCAGTAAGCCTTATCTTGGGCGACGTCCAACGCCGGCTCCTCTGGACTCCTCGCTGGTTCTATCAGCCCGGAGATGGGTCGGGTGCCCAGCAGCAAGGCTGCCGGCGATACTCGTGAGCGACGCAGTTTGACGGACGTCTTACGAATCACAAACGAAGGCGCGAAATTTCGCAAAATATTTCAATATTAGACCGACGACACACTGTTTTGTATTTATGATTAGTGCAGTATATTTAATGCTTTATTGACGTGAAATATCTAAACAGATCGAGATTGGAAATGTTTCATCAACAATTCATAATTCAATCAGATACACAATTAAACTTTGAAGCTTTAGTAGTTGTTGTTTAACAAAAAAAGCAACACAAATGTATAAAGACAACGTTCACTTAACAATTTTAACGAATAAAAATTAATTTTTAATTTTGTTTGCTGCACTGTAAACGCGTGTTCAGTTCTTGGCGGTCACCGCCATATTGTGTCCCGAGGGTTGGCTTGACGCATGCGCCGCACCCTTAAATCGGCTCTTCATTCCAAACGACCACCCCGTTTTTACCGCCACAGCACATAATTTTCACAGTAACCATTGCGTTATGACTTAGAGTAAACGTAGGACGGCATCAAACGAAAACTTCGATAGTCTGTGAGCAAATTTTTATAGCAACACTCCGTAGACGCTCGATTTATTTCTGAACATCACGACCCTTCAACCTTTCAACTTTCATCAATATTACACGTTTCTAGTTATTCACTATACGTAAAATAATATTAAAACAACCTATGATTTTCAATGCTTCACTTCTATTTCTACATTTTATTTGATAAAACGATGATAGATTTACGAATTAATTTGAAGAAATGTGTTGTTCAATTTTGACGTGCATATCGGTTGTATATTATCTGCATATGCGAACGGTGAGCTAGTAAAATCCATTTAGGTAAAAGCCAGCAGCGGTAATTCTTTGCGGGTACTAATTAACTTGATTAAGCTCGGCAGATTTGAGACTTTAGCTAGCTTAAAGCTTCAAAATATTTGAAGACTAAATAGCGATTTCGAATTTGGGCACATGCTGATGTTATAGTTTTATTTATTTATTTAAATAGCCGCCGAACACTAACGCAAAGCCGTAACTGGCTCCTACAGACATTACAATTTGAAAGCCTGACCTTGAGACATTAGATTGAGGTCTCGCAATATCCGTCAGCGCTATAAACTGGAGCTCGGAAATTGAGGAAGTAACATTAATTAATCTAAACGACGAATAGAAAATAGTAGCCAGTTCTCCATACCTCCTGATCAAAGTCGCAGATCTTCTGAATAATAGCGACATTAACATTAATCATATTGATTGTCAGTAATATATTTGGTTATTACCCAACAATATCTTAGGAATCTCTGATAAAGGACTTCAAAGGACCATGTGTCGTGAAAGATTCGCCAAACCCCTAAAGTTAGCATTTTACCAAATATATTTTTTTCGTATTCAATCTTAATCTCATATACCTACTGCTGAGCGTTTTTTAAAGTGTGCGTTCCAGTTTTAATGGTAAGACGATCTAAGTACAATAGATTTTATGACTTCGATATCATAATATATCTCGTTTAAGGCCACATTCACGTCGTAATTTCTATAGGCTTTAATTATACTTATCACCAGGTAAGCTCTGCGCTCGCGTGCATGTCTATGATTATAGAGAAACAGATATTTTACAAAATAAACCTCTTAAATAACTAACTTTTTAACGGTCAAAGCGGATTAGTTCGAGAAACACGAATTATTATTACAACATCGTACTCGTGTTAGATCAACTACAGATTCTTAGATAAGTGGCGGTTGTTAGGACGAAGGAAGGCCTTGACCACTCGTGAATGTAAGGCATTGAGCTGAGAATGTATAAAAAGATTTCGATATGAAAAACTTCTTCCTTTTTATGTTCCATCGGTGATGTGACAAGTGCTATTTCAACATGAACTGTTTTGATAATGATTTTGCATGAAATATGACTCCTATTTTTTGTCTGTCATCTTTATAAACCTTTTACTTTTTATAAATAGTTTTACTCTGATTGACCTCTGACGTGAAACTAAAAGGGCAAAGGTTCTTTCCAACAGCCAATACACGGCACAGCCAACATATATGCAAAGTAGCTGGGAAGCCGACACTTTACGGATTGTTTATTGCAATTTATAAAGTACGAATGAAATTTTATATATACGAATTCAGTAGCCTATCCTATTCGTGCTCAATACACAACTGAAATTAATTATAACGCAAATAAATAAAGGTGCATAAAAATGCAATTTTGCATAACAAACAAATTTATGATTCAAATATACAAAAAATGTAACAAATTGTTTGTAATTTTGAAATGAACTGTAACTAAAAGCTACCAATTTTGGCTCATAACAACATGGGAAAATCTAGCGAAGATTTGCTAATAACATTACAGGCAACCTTTTGCACTGGCACGGCAAAACATGATTGATACTGTACTCCGAAATACCATTGTAAAAAGTTGTGGTCCAAGTCATCGGCAAACCAATAAACGCATTTATATGCTTAAAATATTGTGTGATTTTGAGTGGAATATTACCATATTAAACATTGTTACGTCAATTGTGTGTATAATTAAGTTCCAGATATTATAGGAACAAATGTTATAAGTCATAAATATATAATAATATCAATGTAATCCTTGATACAACCATGGACATCGCGCAGTGGAGAGAGACGAAAAAACTAAAATAAAAAAATGACAAAACTGCTTTTAATTATGTTATTGCTATAGATGGAGAGACTAGCTCACAGTCTTTTTAAATCCTTCCCACAGCTACTTATATATAACATATACGCACTCACTCTGTACCTACAACAGGCGTCTTGTGCAGAAAGTCACAGAAACTTCGTGTTAGTTTAATTTTCTACAAATGTATCGAATATAACATAATGTATGGATCGATATTTAAGTTCAACTCACAATCTATGGTAAAATTCATAAAAACATCAATTGATGACAAGTCACGGTATGAGCATAGTAGCACGAAATCCAATATTAAAATTTAATTAGTTAATGGATTTGGCGCAAAGCCATATATACCTATACATTGGTGTCATTTAAAAAAAGTATTGTACTTATTTGATATATTTATATATTTTTTTATTTGGCAACTTTTATTTGAATTGTATATCACGTTCGACAACACATAAACAGATAAAATCGCTCTTAACTTATAACTTGTGCTAAACGTATTGTTGTAACGTTCATTGTGACTCGTTTCATTGTAAGAATATAACAGAGCTTACTATCCGTTTTGTGTACGATCAAAAGGGAAGGGAAACAATGACGTTATTGCGTTTGCTTGCCTGCGTTCGAAGAATTCCTATTAATCATGAGTGTTATGGAATCGGCATATATTATAATCTGCATACCACTATTTGAGATTCCCTTTTTTATACATACAATTTAAATTATAAGTTTGAGCATTATTATGGTTCTATTGTCATTTTTTTTTCCTACATAAGCTGAAAGCCTTGAGAGGCTATATCAGCGTCGCCTTAACTAGTAGGTAAGCTCAGGGGGCTCAAACCTGATGTCGTTGGTAACACGAACCCTAGCAAGAGCCGTGCTTCGCAAAATCTACCACCGGATCGGAAACGCGACCCACTGAGAGGATCCGGCGAGAAGCTCAGTGGGCTGTGTCTGAGGGTTAACTTACTCGTCGAGCCTTTCGTCCCAAGCGACGGGTTCGACGAGAACGATGACCGGTGCTTAAGGTACCTAGAAGCACCGTTAGTGGATCGGGAGGATCCGAAATGACGTATTTGGGGCGACGTCGACTGCTTTCCATTCTGTCCGCAGGATCGGGAATGTAGTTACCGGCGGCCACGATGAGAGGGTTCTCGTGTCGTGCCGCTTTATCGAAGTGGTGTATTGTCGAGGACTATATTTTTATAACAGATTTCGCTACAATATAACTACGCTACAATACAAGCTACAATATAGACAAACAACATTAATCTATTCTCAGTTTGACCACAGACTTTAAAACAATAACGAAACAGTATATTACGTGTTTGTGTGTCAAATACATGGTAGCTTTGTAATGTTTTTTTTTAATGATTTAAAGCACTTTTATGCATAATTAAAACCACCAAACCGTTGGTCGGATCAGATAATTGCGCTCACTGGACTCTGTTGCGAACGCCCTGAGAGAATCCGAAAACCGAAGCAAATGGAAGCTGAGGGTACAAAGAGCCACGAAGGGCTTTCAAGGACATGACCTTCAGCAATGAAGTATTCGACTAAGGACAGAAGAAGAGAATGCATAATTAAAAAAAATAGCATTCTGCACTCCCTCTCTATATTCTCTATAAGTGTGGGAAATTTCCGTCGTAGTGTTCCGTCGAAATACTCGTCCATCGGCGCAATTTTCGTAAAAAGGGGTACAAAGTTTTTGCTTCACGTATTAATATATAGATTTGTAGTAACGTAAAGGAAATTTAAATATGAGAAAATAAAGGAAAATTAAATAGCAAATATCGACTTGTTTTCAAGTCCCCCTAACATAATTGGTCCATTGGTGCATTATGGAAAATATTTCCCCGACAACAGCAGCTAGCCTTGTCAAAAACACTTGGTATTTAGAATCGAATGAACATTTAGAAACCTGTCCGCGGTCTATTTATGAATGAATGTATTGCAAAATAAGTCCTATGCCTTGTTGATAAAACCGAGATTCAAAATCCTTTGATAACGGAAAGTAATTTATGCTAGTTCTGAATTATTATGAAGATTATGTTTTGTAATTATTCAATTTGACTCTAGCGAAACATTAAGAAATCAATCAAACGTCACATGAATTTATTAGTTGTCATGAGCGATTTTTAAATGCAAAAAACCAAAGGATTTATAACAAAAGTCTATCACAAGCACGCATAAGACCTCAACCTCTTTGAGCCAGTTCTACGATATCCATATCATTCGTCAGTTGATTATATTATTCTCATATTCATTTCTTGTCTAGCACCCTACCTAATTCCTGTATTAGGTAGGCACTAGAAAGCCAAAGTATAAGCCATACTTTTTTTTAGGATTGAAGGATTACTGGTGGCCCTGAGTCCTTTCCAGTTTCACCAGGACAGGTGGTC